CATGTTGTGTAGACATGTTGTGTAGACATGTTGTGTAAACATGTTGTGTAAACATGTTGTGTAGTCAGTGTGTGTGAAGCAGCAGATTGTCGACTCGTTCACAACAACAGGAACATGTGGGGAACACGTGAAGAACACGTGGGGAACACGTGAAGAACACGTGGGGAACACGTGAGACACATGTCTGTGGTTCAGTTTAGGTGTGAAAACAGCTTGAGAGGAGTAAAAATGCTTTAGTTCTTTGTGAAACTGCCGAGTTTAGAGGACGTGAGTTGACTGGACGTCCTTCATATGTGGCTCAGGACACATTAACGTCCACACTGATAAAAGAACAAGGTCACCAGACGACCTCCTGAGCGATCGGACGACACATTTGGATTCTTTGTGATCGGATGTTAACACCAGGTCTGAACTTTATGGTGTCTGGTTCTCACCTGGAAGATTTTTTTCTCTCCTTTGTGCTTGATGTATTCTTTGGGAAGGAACTCCTTCAAACTGAGGGGGAAAGATTCAAACTGAAAATCAAACACACCTGACGAAAACTCAAATGATAGAAATAAAAACAATAATGATGATGATGGAGGAAAGAAAAGAAGACAGTGAGGATGAGTGTGAAGACGGAGCTCACTCCAGGAATCCAGGCTTGTGTTTGGACTCGTTGTGGTCGCCGAACTGAATCTGACACTGATAACCTGCAAACTCACAGGCCTTGTCAAAGGAGACGGGATGAGAGCCGTTCAGGATGTCGTCACGGGCCTGTGGACACACACACACACACACACACACACACAGGTGAACACATGAAAACTTGTAATATAGAAACAAAAAGAACAATCTGAGCAGGACAACCTAACGGTGAAGAGGGAACTGAAGCAGAGGATCATGGGGTGGATGTGGGGAGGGCGGGTACCTGCACGTAGAGCAGGTTGAGCTGGACGGGATCTCTGGAGTCCACGTTCTGATCTGAGTAGAAGAACTTCCTCCTGAGCAGCAGCATCTCGGTCTCCTCCACGCCCTGTTCCCTCAGCGTCCTGCCGTGGTCCAACCAGTTCACTGAGGACAGACACCACACGAACAGGAGACACTGACGCTCGGTAACACGAGATTAATCTGATATACAGAGAGATCTCATTTATTCTGACTGATGAACTGAGTCCTGATTTCAGTGGGATCGAAATGGAATATATATAAAGATGACGTAATGTTTCAGTTCCCTCACATCTCGAGTTCATGATCTGAAGGTCTGGAGTCACAGCAGCTCCACTCATGTGACAACATTTCTACTGTCATCACAAAACTGTGTGTGTGTGTGTGTGTGTGTGTGTCTCTTACACTCGTCGTCTGTGTGAAGTTTCTGCTTCAGCTTCTCCATCTTCTTGTCGTCTCTCAGCAGAGTCTTGTCTCTCTTCAGTGTCCCTGTGGTCTCCTCCTTCTTCTCCTCGCCGATGTCTCGCACCAGCGAGTACTCGTCATAGTTTGTGATGCCTGACACACACACACACACACACACACACACACACACACACACACACACACACACACACACACAAACACACACAAACAAACAAACACAAAGACACACACTCACTCACACTCACTCACACACACTCACACACAAACACACACAAACACACACAAACAAACACACACACACTTACTCACCGTCGTGTCTCCATGACTTCAGATCACATTACATTGATTTCTCTGAGACCTAATCTAACCTTAAC